AAATAATATATAATAAATATATGAAATAAATAAGATAAAATAAATAAAAGAAATATATTGTATAAAAGAAATATATGTTATAGATGACATAGACGACATAGAAGACATATATGATTTCTTAGAAATTGACGTCATTCTTTAGATCATTATCATCTATGTCTTCTTTTGTGTAATAATATTTTTGAGTAAACTTTTTTTGAGTAATTCTATGTCATTTTAAAAATAATAGCTTTCTTTTTTTAACTCTAGCTACAAAACCTTGTCTTCTTAATGAACGTCTAATTATATTTAGAGAAATGATAATATTTTTATCAGAAATTAATTTTTTTTGAACTTGAATAGCATTTGAACATTCATCTAACTTGACAGTCTAGCAATATTTCTATCATAATGTTCTGTAAATATTCTTAAATGATCTGGTCTTAGAGCAACGTTAAGGCTACCTGTTTTTTCTTTTAATTTTTTTATCTTTAATACAGAAACATGACTAACTTTTACATAAGCTGCAATAGTACGATTTGGATGTTTTTCTTGAAGAAGATTACATATACATTCTCTTTGATAAAGTAAAATCAACTTTATAATTATGCAAAAAAACTGTGAGAATATGATACAAGTTTAGCCTACTTATATATAGGATTTATCATATGTTTATATCTTTATTTACTTATGTATTAAAATGCTAAAATTATTGTATCACAAAAAAATACATAACGTGATATTTTTCAATAAGCCATAAAATAAATATCAATAAAATTTACATATATTAAAAATGAAGTCACGAACTTTTAAATTATCTAAATTTTTTATTTATATATTTATTTAATTATGAGATATGACAATTTAAAAATTTTAAACGAAGTGGTATAATAATTATGGAAGTCACTGTATATATTAAAATCTTTTTACTATTATATCTCAAATGAAACTTAATTACTATTTAGCTCAGATTTATAATTAGTTAAAAAAACTTGAATTAAAAATTAAAATTTTTATACTGACAATGATATAATATCAAATTTTTGTTGATGTATTTAAAAATGCATTACAAAAATTTGAAAAATATTTTGAATTATCAGCTTTACTATTTTTTGAAGCTATTTATATTTTATTCAAGGTATAAAATTTTTAAGTAGAAAGACTAATATTTGATTCTATTCTATTATACCTAAATTTCAAATTTCAAATTTAAATTTAATTCAAGAATGAAAAATTTATAGTAATCTTAACAAAATAATTAATTCAGAGGATTTTGATTTAGAGAAATATTGGATAGAAAAAATATCTTACTAACATTAGCTAATATAGCATTAATTTATATTTGGCGTCCAGTTTGTGTAGATGTTGAACGTAGTTTTTCTATTTACAAAAATATTTTGTGATAGAAGATATCAATTATCTATCATTATGTTGAATTTTATTTCGTTTAATAGTAAAAATTAATAGGATAAAATTAGATTGGTTTTATAAATAAAGCCTTTTTAAATTTGATAATTTTAATTATTGTCCACAAAAATGTGAATGGTCTATCCTCGTGCTACAACGATTTCTGAAACCAGTTAAATAACAGATGTTTAATATCGACTTTTTAGATCGCGTTTATATCACCGGAGGGAATATTTTTTAAAATTTTTACACGAGAATTTAACCAAAGGTATCTTCCTGAAAAAGAAACTTTCGTATTTTCTTTAGATTCTACCAAAAACCTCTCTATAATAATATAATATTTAACGCGGAGTTCCTATTACGATAGTTCGCGTATCGGATTAATTCTAAGCAAGCAAAATTTTAGTAATTAAAAAGAAATAATGTCTGAAGATAGCTCAGAACATGAAACTTGGAACAGGCGAACCAACGAATTGATTCAAAAACTTCGAATTACTGGAGATACAGAAAGTGTTGTAGTAGAACGAAAAGACGCGTTTTTTTATTCTCAGTCTCCTTCCCCCCGAAAGGAACTATCAAAGAATAAAATTAGTAGTGTTAAAACAACTCGGGTTAAACAAAATAATGTTAAATTGACGCGTATCACTTCAACTACCAATACACCAACGTTATTTTCATTTTTCGCACCAAAATTATCATCAAACGAAACAATAGAGAAGAATAATAAAAGTATAAATATTACGATTGAACGAGAAAACAGTTTATCTAATAATAATATTAAACGTATAAAATGTGATACGGAATCAATGATTAAAGAAGAAAATGAAATACTTAATGTTAAAAAACGCTCAATTCAATCAAGATATTGGAATTCGACTGAAGAAAAGCAACAATTAAAAGGAACTTATTTGAATGAAGAGAAAAATAATAAAGATAAAAAATCTCTTTGTAGCGAAGAAGATCAAAAGATGAAATTAACTCATGATGAAATGATTATTGACGATGAGAACTGTCCTATTTGTGAAACGTCTTTAAGGAATCTTTCATCTAAAGCGAGTTTTCAAATTAATATATAAATTTTTATGTCCTCACTTTTATTGAAATTCAATTTTTATTTTTATTTTAATCTCACAGGCATCAAATATACATGTCAATAATTGTCTTGATGGTTCATCAAAATTATCCGTAACAAAAGAAGAGAAGATTCACAACAAGAATATATCATCATTACCACTTGATTCATTTTCAAGTAATGCAGAAGTAATTCAAGAATCATTCATGTATAGCAGGAATGAAAAAGAACCAAGAAATATTGAACGTAAAGAAATAGAATCATTTGTTGTTGAGAAACAAGATCGATTCGCTAAGCCTCAATCTAGAAAAGAGTGCCCATGGTACAAAAAATTACCAGGTGATTAAATTTTAAAAGCAATAATTTCTTTTTATATGGTTGTAAACTGAATAATGTTAATTAGGCACGAGCATAACGATGGATGCATTTAAATATGGCAAAATTCCACATTGCACTGCCTACTTTTTGAGGTAAGATAGCGGAAGAGGTAATCAATTGTTGTTGAGGTTCTTAATAAGTTTGGCTACAATTTTAATTTTATTAAAGCCACTTCCATTCGGATCATTATGGTGGATTAACGTCAAAGTGGTCTCATGGACTAATTTACTGCTCCACAGTTACTGGTAATTTGGTGGTCCAACAATTAAAAGTGGCACGTCATTTTATTCGCAAACTTCCCATGAATGAAGAAGTTTGCATAGATAATAACAATGGCATTACAGTCACTTTGATTGATGCCAATCAGTAAGTTCAAAATTGAATAAGATTGTTTGAAAGTTTTCATTCATTTTCCTTATATTAAATACATTTATAGCTGTCCTGGATCAGCAATTTTCTTGTTTAAATTGAAGAAGGAAAACGGACAAATCAAACGATATCTTCATACCGGTGATTTTCGCGCTTGTCCACGGCAAGTTCTTCATTCAGCTATTACACAACCTCAAAATCCTGTAGTTGATATCTTATATCTTGACACTACCTATTTAAATCCACAATATTTTTTTCCTGCTCAGGAAATAGTTATCAATGCTATGATTAATTTAGTTTGTAAAGCGGTTAAGAGGGGTGAACTGATTCAAATGAAACGTAACAATGGTAATAACCGTCAAGGTAAAAATAAACAGCTTCAATCGAACAAATCGCAACTTGCATTGGATAAATGGGTTAAAAAAATACCAGAAATTCTTAAACCTGAACAATCGGAAAATGAGACAAAATCAATGGACGCCGGAGAATCTGATTCTAATATGAAAGAAGATAATTTCATTGATGATGAAAATATTGATATCGAAGAATTGAAATTAAAGAATAGTAAAATTCTAGTTGTAGTTGGTACATACTTAATTGGCAAGGAGAAGGTCTTTTTTGGTAAGTTTTTAATTAATATTATCTAATTAAATTATTGGAATATTGAGTACGTTATTGTGTTATAGGTATTGCAAAGGCTCTCCAGACTAAGATTTATGTTACATGTGAGAAACGAAAGATGCTTATGTGCCAGGAAATTTCCGGCCTTGAATCACTTTTGACGAACGATCCACATCAAGCATATGTACACGTTGTATCCCTTACATCAATCAAACCCGATGTAATAATTTTGAATTTCACTTAATTTTCAATTTATTAATTATACACCATTCTTTAACACGTATTTATTTATTTATAATAGATTCTTTGTGCATATCTTGAAAGTCTTCAACCATCATTTAAATCTATCATGGCTTTTCGTCCAACTGGATGGACTTATAGACCAACGGAAGGACAAAGGTTTTCAACTTCTTCTACAACCGAAGAGATCCTTAATGCATCCACTCCGTTCACTATTGATACTATAAGACCCACATATTCCACACCAACATGTCAGATATTCGGAGTGCCTTATTCTGAACATTCAAGTTTTAGAGAATTGGCCGCTTTTATAATGTCATTGAATGTTAAACAAATAATACCGACAGTTAACATTGGGTAAGATGGACGAAGTAAATAAATTCACATTTATTACATTTATTGAATTTTTTTTTTTTATTAGGTCTGAGAAAAGTCGGGAAAATATGAATTATTGGCTTGATAGATGGCAAAATGAAAAGAATAAGAAAGAAATTAAAGTAGTGCCATACGATGTTGTGGATCATTGGTAGTTTTTTTTTTTTGGATTATAGGTACGCATTGTAGAAGAAATCCATATTAAATAATAAATCAAAAATTGTAAGCATAGCAGATAAACATATAAACATATATAATCATCCTATCCGCGTTAAGCACCATAAAAGTACTGCGTAATTTAATCGAATGTATTTATAAATTAAATAATAATAATGAAAAAAAAAAGAAATGCGAATCGCCTTCTTGGCTCAGTTGGCAGAGCGTCTGCCTAGTATAAATATGTAAGCAGAAGGTCGTCAGTTCGATTCTGGCAGAAGGCAATTTGTTGATTCTTTGATTCATCAATATTTTTCTCTAATTTTATAACAAATCGGGAGAAAAGTGCAAGTTTCGTAGATTTCGTATAACGATTTGTTAAGCACAGTTTTTGAATTTTTATCATAAACGTTATTTTATTATTATGTGAAACAGGATTTGGTATTAAAAAAAAAATTAGTAAAAAAATTTCGTTTTTTATTTCTTAAATTGAAATCTTTCTAATAAAAAAAAAAAATTTGAAAATAAAAATAATTTGACATAAATTTTTTAATAAACTTTTTTAAATGGTAAAATTCCATATATATTTTGGCATTAATGAAATAAATAAAGTATTGATCGGCTTGATTGCTTTCAAATAGAAATATAACACGAGTTTTTTGAGTCTCCAACTCTACACACATTTAAAAATCTTTTATTTAGCAATCTTATTCATTCAATAATAGAACTTTGATAATATAAAAATTTTTTGGAAAATTATAAATTTATTTCTTCCATTTGCCACACGGTAAAAACGAAGCACAGTGATTCCGGGTGATATCGTTATGATATGACCAGTGTTTAATAAGTCCCGTGTTAAGTTAGAAATTTTCTTTTTTTATATATTTCGTCTATATTGAATAAAAATTTCATTTCATAAGGATTAATTAATATATATATATATAATATATATTATATATAATCCTAAGAATATATATACTTTTTAATCCATCTCAAAGATCTCAAAAACACCAAGTTCAATGTTATCCTTTTGTCGACGCTCATATTCGCTACGCGCCTTATCTTTCAATTGTCCTTGTCTTCGTCGCTCAAGGACTTGTCCAGGTCCTCCATAATCTCTTTTTATTTTAGACCAAGCCTTGCCGTGTTCACGCATACCTTCTTCAAGGGTTCGTAACTCCTCATCATTCCATTTAACTCGTTTCGATGAAATTTGAATAACTTCATCATCAATGTTTAATATGGCTCTTTTTTTACCCCGGGGTGTTGATTTTCTTTAAGACAAATATATTTACAAAATTTAATAATTAAGGAAAAATTTGTATATATCTATTTACGGTATAATGACAAAATATTATCTCTTTTCTTGATTACCTGGAATTACTTTCGATACGTTTACGAGGTGGACTTTGTTCCACGAATGACGCTTCTGAAGAAGTTTGTCTAGAATATAAAAGAAATTAGATATCAATGAAATGATCTAAATTTCAGAGAACATGACAAATAATTTAACGAACTTACTCATCATCTGCTATTTTTTTTTCCGAAAACTTGTTGATTGGGGAACTTAACGAACACTCTTTTTTCCTTTGCCTAATAAAATATTAAAATAAATCAATTTTCGTTCGTTCATTTAAAATGATGGTGATTATTTCACCATGATTTTAAAATGTTTTTTTTTTTTTGCCTTACCCTAGAGCAAAAGTACATGACTCTATGTCCTTTTGTCTTCTTGTACCTGATTTAGCTTTGGGAGATTGGCTGATGATACCAAATATACCCACATTATTCGAACGTTGCGGTTTACGGAATGCGGAAATCTTAGCCAAATTGGGCTGCTTCACGGCAAATCCGAATAGGCTCGGATTGTACTCTTGATCACGTGAAATAACTTGTGCTACCTCTCCACTTTTAGGATAATCATCGAAATTATACATAAGACCATCTTGATCCTGCTCAGCATCACATGACCTCGGTTTCTTTGCATTACCACCTGGAATGTCAACCTCCTTTCGTTGTAATAAGTCCAAATTAACAACCCGAGTCGAACTAGATGATACTGGTGATGTGTGGATCGATGTATGCTTATGCAATACCGGCTTGTCTAGGTCTCCCGCTATGCCAGATAGGAACAAAAACATCTCTTGAGTGAACGTATACCAACTAAATTTTTTCAACAAAGCGTCCATATCTCCGGAACATCTTTTAATCGTATTGCGAAGGTTTATATGCGCTTCCTTATATTTTGGTGGACCTTCAATCTCCTTTGGGAACATCTTATCAAAAAAATTCGTTAAAGGTTCCTTACGCGTTTTGTATAAATATAATTGCGTTTTCAATTTTAAACCCAAATGCCAAATTTCCATGGATTGCGAAAGAGAGGATGGCACGATATAATCAAAGAATGTTCGATAATCAACATTCGAGAGATCCGATGCTTCGGGGTCAAATTCCGCGAATAATGAATTGAAAAATAGGGTCATGTTACAACGGCGGACCATGGTGCGTGCTTCGTCATTGTCCGATACGTTATACATGTTGATGTCTACAAATCCATTATTGTTCAACAAGGATTGTTTGACATTATAAAACCATGAAAATTTCGTTGACGCGTGCCATTTCAATTGAATGTTTTTAACAACGTTTGTTGGATTCCGAATTGCTTCCCCAATAAACATTATTTGAGCTTCTAATGATTCGTAGGCTAAAGTATCCAAGATATGCAAATGTCTTAAAAATTCATCGTTTTTAGCAAAGTATGTTGGATCCAAAGTTTTAACGGTCGCTTTATCCATTATTTTTTTTTTTTCTTTTTTTTTTCTTTTTTTTTTTTTTTTTTTTTTAAATAAGGTCCAAATGTTTAGTAAGATGGTACAAACTTTGAAATCTAGAACAGGTTCCGTTAAACCCTTACTAGCATATACAAAAAAAAAAAATGTTTGGGTATTAAGATAAATATTTACGGCAGAAGATTTATCTATCAACGATCAAATGTTTTGTCTGAGAAACGAACACTTTGAATTAAAAAATCTTTTTTCTTTTTTTTTGCATAAAGCTACAAAACAATGAAAATTATTACTGATAGCTTTAATAAGTAATCAGAAGGTAAGTTATTACTTATTCTTGAATAAATGTCGTGAATTGTAATTGCAAATCGCTTCAGGGGAAGGGTGTTTATCCAAGCCACAAAGATCACAAATTTTTTTCAAGAATGATGGCACGTGCATTTGACGAAATATTTTGCCGCAGCAGACCTGGTTTTGGGTCCGGTTTTTTTCGTAGATTCAAAAAAAAAAGGTAATCCTTTAAAAATTATTATGTTTATCGACCGAATGATCATACTGCGGGCTCACAATAGAGATCTTTGCATTTCATAAGATAAAATGAATACAAATATAAAAAATAACTTTATACAAAAAAAAGTCCAATATTTTACATAATGCTATAAAAATCTCGCAAGTTTAGGGATATTGTCACTGCTGATAGAATTTGATAATTTTTTTTTTTATTTCAAAAAAAAAATAAATAAATAAACAAACAAACAAACAAAACAAATTAAATCATTACCTTCTTTTAATAGTGATATAATGATTATAAACTAATTCATTAACATCATGTTCATATACGTTGAAATTTTTGAGAATACCTTTATCAAGAAATGTTTCTCCAATTAATTCCAAACTGAGAGGAAGACTTCTTAAACCATAAAATGATAAAGATAATTGGTTTCTCGTTTTCCAAGTTTCTAAAAATAATTCCAAAGCATCAGGTGTCAAACAACTTTTACCATCGAATATAAGATGTGATAGGTTTAATGAACCAAACTTCCTGATAATATTTAAAAGTTTAGCCCCATCAATGTTATCATTCCAACCAATAAAATTTATAACCTCCAAGTTCCGACAAGATTCAAATATTCCTTCTAACCCATAAAGACTAGGATCTATCAAATATATTGTAACAAATTTAAGTTTTGAACAATATTTCGCGATTGTTTTATTATATAATTCAATATCTCCGAGATCAGCTAAAAGGTCAGCCCCCAAGAAAATTATCTGAAGATTTCCATTTGTAGACTCGATTAACTTTGATAGCTTCTTCAACGAAGGAATTATATAATGAACTTCAAGAGACTCGAGAAATGGCAACTTTAAATTTTCTAAATGAGCGAAATCTTCAAACTCTTCAGATGAAATTCCGAGTATCAATCTCCGTAAATTAGTTAATTCTTTAATAATTTCAAGTGAAATACACCCGTTACCGGAAATCTCTAACAATATAAGAGAATTTTTATGAAGGATCAAAGCATTTCCGATACTTTCGCATGGAGAATCATAATATGAAGAAGGAGTATCAAGATAAATATCAGTTGAAAACGTAAAATATTTTAACTCATGTTGTAATTCGATCAAAGTTACAAGTCCAGAATTCTCCCTTGTGTAAAAAACATCCAATTTCTGAATATTTCGGCAGATTTGAGATAAACCATAAAAGAATAACGAATTCATTTCTGATTTTGATTGAAACTCATTAAGTTGTGAAAGTGCTTGATTCGCTCTTGGAAAATGATGTATTGGATGTAAATCATCTATAAGCATAAGTCCGAGAATTGAAGTACATCGAGAGAACAACATCTTTGAAATTTCAAGTTCCAATAAATTCCTTGCTGTATCACCTGCAATCAACTGGTTAATTATCTGGCGCAATTTCACGAAATCCAAATATCTAATGTACTTTGGATAATCAAGTAAAGTTTTACGATTTATTGTAGTATAAGGTAAAAATGTTATACCACATTTGAATAAGAAGTCAATAGTTTCTCGTTCTAAACATGAACAAAGTAAGGTGAAAAATCGTTCAGACATAACTTCTGATAAAAGGATATGTTTCCAGGGATTTTTCCATAAAAAGGGTAAAGTGGTCTCACACCATAATCTATTTACTAAAAGACATGAAAATAATGAAGAGGCATCTTCTTCTAAATAATAAAAAATTTCGCCAAGACAGTCTGCGTGAAGTCGAAACATTGATTTTTGAAAAAAAAAAAAAAAAAAAAAAAAAATTAATTTATATTCTGTCATATGTAACTCGTGACAATAATGCATAATAAAAATCCGCAACGGAATTTTCCGGAAATATGTCATATTGGCCTCACCTTTATTTTTTTTGAACCTTTTTCGCTACAACCAAAATGTACTGCGCCGTAAAGTGATATCGAATTAGATGATCCAATTTATGAAATTTTTAATAAAAAAGAATGATATTTATATAAAGATTTCAGAGAATAACTTCATTTATTTGTTGGTATATTTGAGTAGAAACGTTTTAAGTACGCGTCAATACTAATTTCTAATGAAATTAATTGAAATTTATTTATATATTTTCCTGGTAATTTTAAATGACACAAAGTCGGTACTAACAAAAAAATTGAATCAACAAATTGCCAGCAACTTTTTGAATTTAAGGAATTTCGTGCCATGATGATATTTAACGTTATCTATAAAAATATTCTGAGCCTACTTTGCATTAAATTGATAAATTTTAATACACTAACCGGATACAGACTTATATATATATTTATTTGCAGGTCTTACCAGTGTTGGCAAATTACCTTGAGATGACCATAATTTCACAGTTGAAATGGTCATCACCAGTTTAATTCAACGACAATATTGATAATATACCTTTTTTGTAACTATGTTGACTCTCTATCTCTATAGTTCTTTACACAAACAGTGCTACAAAATTTCAATTCACAAATTTCAAAAGGTACTAATCCGACAAGAGATTTTTCACACACATTGCAAATAACATTTCCTATAGAAGGGAGGGTTAAAGGTTTGGGTGTACCTCTGTTTTGCATAGCATTTAATCGTACCTCAGCAGCTCGGGCGCGACGTTCTCTTTCAATTCTCGTACGCATTTCAGCTGGTAATCCAATTAATGAACTAGAACTGTCTAACGATTTACCTGAAATTGATGAACCATTTTTCTTTGATGCTGATGATGTAGATTCGCTTTTTTCAACTACTACATTTTTATTTACTTCAACTATTTCTTTTTCTTTTTTATTGGCTGCTGCCTTTTTCTTTCTTTCTTTATCCTTCCTTTTCTTTTCCTTTTGTTTCCTCTGTTGTTCTTCTTCCATCTCTTTTGTCAAAGGACTAGGAACATGAGCATTGCTCCAGTTCCACTTATCCATATGCTCTGCCATATATCTTCGAAATACATTACGTGTTTCTTTATCCTTTGCTAAGTCGTAAGGTGTCAAGTTCTTTATTGAAGTAATTGTCGGATCTGCATCATGATTTAACAGATATTCGATAATATCATGATGGCCTAAAGATGACGCTAAGTGTAATAAAGTTGGATTCTTACTAATATCATTCTCAGAAATTGGCGTAATAGGAAGAAGGTGTTGGACTTAGTGTAGAAATAGTAAGGTGACGTCTTTGTAAGTCTGAAGGAAAGTTTAGTAATGAAATTTCTAAACCTTTGCTTAAAGAAGACCATTGAAAGAAAAGGTTGCAATAGGCAAAAAAACATAAGAATTTTGATTGTAATCAAGTTGTTTTTACAAATGAGAGTACATTTCAATTATATACATCAAAAAAAAGGTTTGGCAGTTTCCTGATAGAAAAAAAGTGTTTCGTTCTGTTAAGCATTTACCAAAAGTTTATGTTTGGAGATGTTTTTCTGCTTCTGGATTTGGTAAGCTATTTTGCTTTCAGAGGAACCTTAATGCTAAATTTATGTGTACTATTTATGAGAAGGGTCTTCTGGCTTCCACCTCTAAACTTTTTGGTGAAGGTAACATAGATTGG